GGGAGAGCCAGAAGGAGGGGGAGCTCAGGTGACAGAGCGTGGAGCTGTGTGGTCAGTGAGGGGACACACGCAGATGTGGGAGAGCTAGAAGGAGGGGGAGCTTGTGTAACTAGCCCAGGCCATGTGTCAGATGGAACACAAAGGAAACAGTTTGTTTTGGAGTAAGTTTTCATTGATAAATGTCTGAAAACATCCGAGTTTCCCACGTGTATTGGGAAGAGTAACTTGAGTATTTGTTTCACTCTAGGAGCTGATGAGGAGTTTCAACAGAGACAAGCGCATCTTTTGTGCCATCCTGTCGACTCACAGCCGTTCCACAGGTGTGAATCTGGTGGAGGCAGACACTGTGGTCTTTTACGACAATGACCTCAACCCGGTGATGGACGCCAAGGCCCAGGAGTGGTGCGACAGGATCGGGCGCTGCAAGGACATCCACATATACAGGTGACAGCAGCACCGGCCTGCGGGCCTGGGGAAGACTCAGTGAGGAGCTTTGGGAAGGGGTGGGACGGGAAGTGCTGCTGCAGAAACAGGTGCTGCTGAAGAGAACACAGTCTCCTTTTACACGTGTCTGCTGCGTTGTGTCTAGGTTTCCTTCAGGCACACTTACTTTCTTGCAGCTTTGTGTGTTATCATGTAGTTTAGTTCTGTGACTTGGGCCTGTCCACTCTGTCCTCTCAGGGTTTAGCTGCTGTCCCTTTTCTGCAGTACCTACCTTAAAAGGATGGCTCCTGGTTCAAATGTTTCAAGATTTAAAATGTTAGTAAAATGGTTCCCGAGCAGAGTCATTTCTGTTGAAATTATCTTTAAGCACGAACGTTACAAGCAGCCAGACATCTAGCTGAGGGAAACGGCTGTGTGCCCCTAAACTTGTAGAAGTGTTTACACTCTGCACAGTGGCAGCAGGTCTGAGCCTGCTTGTGTCATGCCTGGCATATGCTGAGCCCCTGGCCTGCTCCCTCGTGTCACCTGCTGCTCCTCTGACTGGGTGCTGCCATCTGCTCTGAGGAGGGCCTGGGGGCCAGAGTAGAAATGCGTGGCGTCCTGCTGGCCTGACCAACCAGGAGTGATACCTGGCGTCTGCAGGGCCGCGGATGGCACCATATCTAATGCCACGTTAGGATCGTCTTCTCTAAATAGCTTTATCATTTTCTCTCTGATTATGAGCGTAGTACATGTTTACTGGGGGTGGGGTGGGGAGTATGTAGAGAAAAATAAGGATCCTGCAAAGCTAGCAATTGTGAACATTTTGGTGGGTATTTTCCCAGAAGTTTTCTGATTTTTAGACCACTCTTGCTGTCCGTCTCGTGAGCGCACGTTTAGCTTGGTAGATAGGAGCCTGGGTGGCACCGGTGGTCTGTCACCAGCTGCCGACCCAGAGGTCGGCTGTTGTAACCTGCCCACTGGCTCTGCGGAAGGAACGCCTGGTGAGCGGCGTCCATAAAGAGTACAGTCGAGGACGTGCCGTGGAGCGTCCTGCTCGTTACGCCTTGTTACCACTGAGTGACCAGTGTTTCAGTGCGTATTCCCCTCCTCCTCGTTGGCCCTCCAGCAATGACTGCAAGAAATGAGGAAGATTTTTTTCCCGGAAACCACAAAGTCTCTAAGTAGCCTCAGCGGTAAAGGTGCAAGACGTGCATGTGAAGTGTGTTAAAGGACATGGACACGATGTGCCGGATGAAAGGAAGACTCCTACGAGGGGGAAGGTCCCCCGGTGGTGTGGGTGTTGGCTCACAGTGGGGTGAAAGGACTCTTCAGGTTTGTTTGGAGTGGAGCGTATCTGATAAAGGCCAACAGAAGTGCTGAGAAAGGATTGAGGGGTGGGGAAATGGGACAGGACGTGCCCGTCAGGCGTGAACACACTCCGCCACACCAGCGTGATCTCATGTCATCCCTGTGGGTGAGGGGTGGGACAG